GCAACTCCAGCCTGGCCGGGCCAGGACAGAATGCAGAGTCTTCCTGCTCCACCATAATTTTCCTCCATGTGCCTTGTTTCCCAAAGTATCAGTTCCGCTTTTGCAAACCATACACCTGGTGGTCATTACTCTTCCTATCCTAGCCCATCAAACACCAAGTGTTGCTGATTTTACTTGAAAGGGGTGTTTTTAAAATCCCTTCATGGTTCTGTTATCAGAGGGTCCTGTGGAGCTTCTTTCCAGGTTCTTGGTCTAATAAAGACTTGGACAAGAAACAGAAAGGGCAGCAAAAGTGTACATTTATTGAAGACAGAAAAGAAGTATGCTCTGCAGAATGACAGCAGGCTGGGGACAAGCCTCACAGCAGCCCAGAGGATAATTATTTTTTGTTTGTTTTTTGGTATCAAAAACTCTTAGCTTATCTCTCCCATCTGCAAATAAAGTGTTGGGAAAGTTGTCCTCTCACTCACACACTCAGTATCATGCCAGGTTCAGAGGAGAGCCCTGAATACCAGTTGATGAGCTAGAATTCCACCCTGCAGGTGACAAGGAAATAAAACAAGGCAACGGGGTGAGGGACACTCCCAATACAGTGATGCCATCATTACTGTGCAAAGAACCAATTGGAAAGTGCTAAGAACAGGCTGAATTTCCTGTCTCTGGGGCTTCAGGCATTGTGGCAAGGGACCATCTAGGAAGCTGGGAGAGGTTTCTTGAGGGAAGGACAAGAAGCATTCCTCCAAAGGGTTACATTAAACACTCCAGCCGCTCATTTGGAAAGTGAGTTCCTCACAGTCATAGCCACTAGGGATGACACCACCAGATGTGCAGTGTGTTTTCTGTGTGTGTGTGACCCTCACCACCCAGATCACTGAGGGGCTCTTTGGATGGTGACAGCCACACACCAGCCTGGAATGGAGAGGGACGGTACGTCTCCCACTTGAATCGTATGCCCAAGCTTAAGACAGTGAGCATCAAGAGTTTCTATAAGAAAGGATTTATTTTAAAATGTATTGAATTTTGTTGGAATCTCTGCTTCATAGTGAGTTTGCACAGCAGGGATACCTGGAATAACAGATAAGCAACACACCCACAATTACTGCTGAAATCCATGAAGCAAGAAATGCCACATTTACTTGGCATCAGAGGAGAAAGCCCAGGCTTTGTTCCCCTCACCCCCGCCATGGTTACCAGGACCCTAGGGTGCCTGGAGCCCACTGGCCAATGAAGGAGAGAGTCCTCATGTGTGACTCGGTTGCTGTCAAATCCTAGCTCCAGCCCTGCAGAGAGATGCCCTCAGATTACATAACCTGAGTCTGTTTTCTTATCGAAAAAGGAGACAGATAGTAATTTTCATTTAAGAAAGTGATGTTCTTCTCTTCTTCCTCCTCCTCTCCTTCATCACTGTTGCTTCTTTGTATGGGTTGCATAGAGCTCCATTGCTCAGGCATAAAATCATTTGTTCCTGTAAAGAGGGGTTAATGGAACGCAGAGAGTAGCCTATGTTAAGTGAGTTTGATCTGAGACCCTGTGTGTCTGTATCTGTTTGTGTCTATGACCACATCCCTGCCTGACTACAGCTGTCTACGTTCATCTGTGGCTATGTCCATGTCTATATTTAGGCCAGTGTCTGTGTGGACACAGGCCTTGGCACACTTGATGTGACAGTGCAATTAGTGTCATATCGTGTGGACCAGGTTGATGGTACCTGTGTTGCTCGAGGTGATACAGCCAGTGTCGTCCCATGACAGTGTCATTCGGCTCCAGGGTTCCCTATGGCCCGAGAGAGCCTGGGCACTGCATGGCTAGCTCTGTGCCCTTCTTTGCATTTCGGCACAAACACCTTTCTGCTCTCCCCACATAGGTCGTCATCCTCAGCACTGTGCGGAGAGGCCTACCTCACTCCGTCCTTTTCAGATTCAGCACACAGCACAACAGGGTACCAGACTAATTCTCAGGGCCGTGCAGCCGACATCCAGGAGCTGGGGGGCATCCGAGAGCCTGATCAATGTCTCTCTGCCGGGTGTTCTTTTAAAAATGTAAAATGGCATCTTTGATGTAAGATGTTCCATGACATGCACCCTTCACCTGGGATTTTGTATTTTCTTAGTACCTCTGTATGGCCTGGTGGTTGTCGTATGCAGCTAAGCCTTGATTTCTGCTTGGGTTCTGGCTTGAAAACACTATGGTTAAGTTGAAAACCTCACAGGTTGAGGATGCAGCAAGCACACCTATCCTGTCATGTCCAGCTCCGCAGCACAGACACTGCAGAGCGTGGGGCTGTCACTCGGACCACAGCCCAGTGTTAGCTGAGCAAAGCCACTGAGTTTGAAGTGGTTTCTACTGAATGCCTTATTTCCACCCCATCGTCAAGCTGGGAAGTCATGTCGAGCCATTTTAAATTGGGGATCACTTGTGATTAATCAAGTCTACTGGTCATATGTGCCCTTTCCAACTTTTCACTGTTATAAAAATACCCAGAAAAATTTAATTGCATTGCATCTTTATTTTCATATTTCCTGCAAGAATTCATTCCTTCAGCTGGGCACAGTGGCGCACACCTGCAATCCCAGCACTTGGAGGCTGAGGCAGGGGGATTGCCAGCCTGGACTACACAGTGAGACACTGTCTCAAAAAGAAACAAAAAACATAAACAAAAAACCTTACAAATGGAATTGTGAGGTCTCGCTTCATTATCAATTTAGACCCCCACCAACTTGGAAGATTGCATTTTCTTTTGCTCTCACCAACAGTGGCACAAATATTAGGAATTTCACTCATATTACCAATGACCTTCTAGTTGGGCCTCATTCTTCACTCAGAAGTGGAAAGATCTTTAGAAGAGAGGGTGTGTGGCCAACATGGGCTAGGTCATGCAAAGTCCAGGTTGGCTTGAGAATTCACTCGGTTAGCTTCTTATTGTCCATTTCAGAAAACAGCCATCAGGTGTAGGCACTGGAATGGGGGCTTTGCCACATTTACCTGATTAGAACCCTGGCTAGCCCTACTCAGACCTATGTGGCAATAGGTGTGTAACAATCCTTCACCTGTAGGACAAGAATGAAAATATTCTGCAGGTCTGAGCACTGAAGAAGTTACTACTCTGTAAGATCCCTTCAACCAAGAAGCAAGCCAAAGAAACGTCTATGTGACTTGAGGTACAGGTAACAAATGGGTAGAACTTAGGGTTTCAGGAACATTTTCTCTGCGAGAGAAGCAAGGTCCAGGTGGTCTGGTGGGCTCGCAGTGGTCATGGTCTGGCTCCTCACGAGCAGGTAGTTACACAGTCGTTTGTCTCCTTACATTGCACAAGGGTTGTAGGGGGAGCTGTGTATTTCACAGAAAAGGTAGAACACCCCATGAAAAATCTCTCAAGTGAAGAATGAATCAGAGAAACATTTCCAATGTGTTAAGAAATATTAGTTTATTTAACCAGTTTTCACAGCTGAATATTTATTCTATAAAACACGAGCAGGTAGTTACACAGTCGTTTGTCTCCTTACATTGCACAAGGGTTGTAGGGGGAGCTGTGTATTTCACAGAAAAGGTAGAACACCCCATGAAAAATCTCTCAAGTGAAGAATGAATCAGAGAAACATTTCCAATGTGTTAAGAAATATTAGTTTATTTAACCAGTTTTCACAGCTGAATATTTATTCTATAAAAACTTTACAGATTGTACAGTTTATATATAGTTCAAACTACTGAACGAAAAAGTAGGTCCCACAGATGCAAAAATAGTACCAATCAA